TTTCAAAGCACCTTTTTACGTAGAATTTAATGGTTTAAGTACAATTTTTTTAAAATTAATAATTTAAGAATTATCAACAGAAAATTTGATTTTTTATATGGGACACCCTATATATTTTTAATTAGCTGAAAAGAATTTAAAATTACCTTTCCAAAAATATAGCATACTTGATATTTTGTTATAATGCCCTTCGAAATACAGATTTTTCAAAAGTTCGCCACTTTTAACTAGTAGCACAGATAACACATAATCCAGATGGCCATTGCTTACGGAACAGCATGTTTTCGATGAGACAGTTCCCTATTAATGACACAGAGGGCGCCTATAGCCAAATCTAATAATATTTTTAAAACGAACGAATTTGGAGCCACACCACGGCCACGCGATGTGAAGCCACATAGCCGGTTGTTCACATTTATAAACAAATTCCCGGTCAAACCCAGGGAACATGTATATTCGGACTTTAATACTAGACAATTGGATATGAAAATACTAGTCGCAGTGGATGTTTGAAAGTCAGAATTTCTAGATGCATATATATGCTATTTATAGCCATGAAATTTATAATTTAGATTTTATTTTTATTATTTGTCTCTTAATATTCATTAGCTGAAAATAAGGGTAAAGGTTATCTATATAGTAATAAATAAAATTTGGCACATAGGTTCCTTAAGTGATGTAAATGAGCACTAAGAAGGGATTTTTTGAAAATTCGACCGCTAAGGGGGTGAAATTAGGGATGAAAAGCTGCATAAAAATTTGTTAAAATCTGGTTTAAGAGTATGAAATTTTTCACGAGTGCTCCTTGACTGACGTAATTGAACACTAAGTGGCAATTTTGGAAATTCGCTCGTTAAGGGGGTGATATGGGGGTACTTTTTGTATACAAAAAAAGCATGTCCTATGACTACGAAATTTTGCACAGAGGTGCCTTAAGTAGCGTAACTTAACAGTTCGATTATACAAAGCGATTTTAGGAAATTCTTCTAAGGGGTGAAACTGGGGGTGAAATTTTGCATACTTTTTTAAAATTAGTCCGAGGAGTTTGAAATTTGGAAATTGTTAATTAAGTGACGAAAGTGAGTACTCAGAAGCGAATTTTGGACATTCATCCCCTAAGAAATAAGGGATGAAAATTGGTATAAAAATTTGTTAAAATCGGTTTTAGAAGTATGAAATTCTGCGTAGACGTTCCTTATGTAACTTAATTTAGCACTAAGAGGCAATTTTAGGAAATTTTCCCTCTAAGGGGGTGAAATGAAGGGTGAACGTTCTGAAAAAAAATCTGTCCTAAAAGTATGAAAATTTGCACAGAGGTTCATCAAGTGATGAAACTTATACTCAGAAGCGAATTTTGGGCATTCATCCCTTAAGAAATAAGGGATGAAAATATGTACAAAAATTTGTTAAAATCGGTTTTAGAAGTATAAAATTGTTCGCAGACGTTCCTTATATAAGGTAATTTAGCACTAAGAAGCAATTTTTCGAAATTTTCCCTCTAAGGGGGTGAAATGAGGGGTGAACTTTCTGAAAAAAATCTGTCCTAGAAGTATGAAAATTTGCACAGAGGTTCCTCAAGTGATGAAAGTGAGTACTCAGAAGCGAATTTTAGGCATTCGCCCCATAAGAATTAAGGGATGAAAATTTGTACAAAAATTCATTAAAATCGGTTTTGGAAGTATGAAATTTTGCGCAGACGTTCCTTATGTAACGTAATTTAGCACTCAGGAACAATTTTTGGAAATTCGCCCTCTAACGGGGTGAAATGAGGTGTGGACGTTCTGAAAAAAAATTGCTTGTTATTGCTAAATTACGTTACATAAGGAACAAACAGAATTTCATACTTCTAAACCCGATTTTAGCAAATGTTTGTACAAATTTTCATCCCTTATTTCACTCTCTTAGGAGATGAATGTCCAAAATCCACCTGTACAAAATTCCACACTCGTAGGACTGTTAGTTTTAACTAACAATTTATTAAAGTGCAACTATATAAAAATTATACAGGGTGGCGCCTCTCATACGACTCGGAGGCTCCAAGGAGAACGACCAGTTCGTATTAAAATGAAATTTTGTGAGCATATGTAAGTTAATTCTGCGCACGTTTTAAAAATATAGAGCGTTCTACAGGGTGTCCCCAAAAAAAGTTACACATCAAATTTGTGTTTTTTTGTAACGGAATACCCCCTTTATTAATTAATTTTTAGATTCTAAGAGAAAAATAAAGGTGTATTTTATTAGGGAAGTATATGACTGAAATGTAAGGTTTTAGACTTACTTAAGATTTTGAAGAACAATTTTTAAATTTCAAGAAAAACTACCTAAATTGGAATTTACTCTATTGCACTTTAAATCAAATTAAACCCTGACCCATAAAGTTATACAGGGTGGGGCAAAATTAATGCTGAACATTGGTATAACCTGTATAACTCCTTTATTACCCACCCTGTATAACTCCTTTAGTTTAATTGAATCACCCAGAATATTATTCCGATATTCAATGGGAAATTCATGTCACTTCCAAATACTATTAAAGTTGCCGGCCTACCCCTCAAACAAAGATTTTCCTAGATATTTTCATTTCTATGATTTAGTGTGAATAGATCTTTATTATTTGATAAAATCTAGGGTGGCTGTGATATGTCTGACGTTACTTCAACATAGCTGTCAAATTAGTTAACTTTAGCAACTAGTTATCATTTTGTGTCAGTTCGTCAGTTGAAACAAAAAAAAATCTAAGAAATTTTCCGAAAATAGAAACTTATCCTACATCAGAGAGAATTGATATGATTCTATTAGTTAGCTCCTGATTTTATCTAGTCTGGGCTTTTTTTGGGATTAACATATATCAAATAAAAAAGCCCAGACTAGACAGTGTTAACAAAACTCGACCAAACCAAACCAAACTATTGTCTGAAACTGCATTTTTTTACTTACTAAATATGAATTTTACTTTGTTTTGTTGATCTTTGAAAGGTGTATAAAGTCGAATCATTTTAGATTGGACATTTAAATTTTATGGGATTTTCGGGATCCCGGAATTTAATATCGGGATTTCGGAGATAAACATACACGCCGCCGGGATCCTGGGAGTTCGGGATTTCAGGAAACTCTAGTCGTGAGATTAATGATGTACAGATGCATGTCATGTTGATTTGGAAGTGACAATCGATAAGATTTATCATATAATTTTACATACCTATTAAACGACAGCGATCTTCATTTCCAAGCCCACTCCCATGCCTTTTTTTTCTATCGTACGGTATATTCACTAACTGCATTACCTACTTATAATTTATAACAGTTTATATTCACTGATTCATTTATAATTTGTATCCACTTAATATTACTTGATTTATCCATCGTAAACTTTGCATAGATATAGAAATATAACGATGGACAACTCTTAATGTGTTAAATTATACCCTACGATCGAAAAAAAAACGGCGTCCGATTGGTTTGGAAATGACGATCGATGACATTCCCCATATAATTTTACATATCAAATGACAGCGATCTTCATTTCATAGCCATCGCTGACGCCGTTTTTTTTTCGATCATACGGTATATGGTAAAAGCCATCGATCACCATTTCTAAGGTAACTTAACGCCGTATTTTTACATACAAAATGTGCAAAAAAATTCTATATGAATGAACTCACAATTTTCTATCCACTTTGTACATAAATTAGGATCTCTTGACGCATGAAACTTAAACACATGTACACCTGATTTCCGAGAAATCTCACAATTGTAAAATTGACACTTATTACCAGATATTTTAATAATAATTATCACTAATCACACAGTTGTAATCAAAGACAGTCAAAGGTATATAGTATATTACCATCACAGATTACCATATATTACCCGGCTTTTAAAATATCCATTAAAAACAAAAAACAGTAACGACATATCTAAATATTCTATCCTTGTCGCATATGGTTCGTTCCTGTATTATTCTGTGATAAGGGAAGGAATAGAGATTTTCTGTGATAAGTGGTAAAGCTAGGTTTTCATATGTACAAATTTGGCAAACTTTCCAGGAAATTCGGTCTTATTTTTATTATAAAATTATTTATCATAAACAAATTTATTGTAAAAAAAAAATTTGAACGTATATTCAAATTTTAAACGTTTCAATTAATAAATAACGTAAATCACTTTTAAATTAAATTTAAGAAAAAAAAATCAAAATTAATAAAACGTAAATCACTATAACAAATCATTATTTTAATTTCAAATTTATATTTCGAAGTTATATTACAAGTTATTTACTGTTGTCTTATACAGAGTATATCAAGACAAATGCGAAACTTTAAGGGGTGTATTCTTTGTTATTTGTCAACATTTTTAAAATAAGCTGAAGAGGTTGAAATAAACTATTTCTAATATTCGTTAATTTGACAAAAAACTGGAGCAACGGTATGGAAAAAATGGTTAGATTTGTATATTTAGAACGTTTTTATGACTTGCAATTTTTCCATTAAATTCATTATTTGAAGTTAAAAATAAAATGTAAATCATTATGTATTGGGACCAAAAAAATATTTTAGCAAAGAAGCTGTTCGCCTTAAAAACAGTTTTATTTTCTACTACTGTAAAATATTTTTACAAACGACATATAAAGATAATTGATTGACAAACATGTTTTAAGCTACCCTTCCTAAATCTTCCTTAAAATAAAAAGATTAACAGATGGGAATACATATTATACCGTATGATCGAAAAAAAAACGGCGTCCAGTTGGCTGGGAAATGGCAATCGATGACATTTCCCATATAAATTTACATTTAAAATGACAGCGATCTTCATTTCATAGCCATCGCTGACGCCGTTTTTTCGATCATATGGTATATCAATAAAGTATTATTAGAAAAGCTCACTAGATTGTTTTCTAGTAAAAAAGACCTTATTTTGTCACAACAGGTGACATTTTTTTGTTTTAAATCAAGTAGGTTTTAAAAAAACTACAATAGGTAAAAAAGTTTCTAAACAAATAGAATATCCAAATTAATTTATTTCCAATGACAATAATGTGTAAGTTTGTAATTAAAGTTAGTTAATAAGAATAATAGGTGTAGTATATTTCAACATCATTCACTGGTTTTAAAAACATCAAAAAATATGCATGTGTTTTCATAGTATAAATATGAATTGTTCCTTACGTTAGTTCTTATTGATATAAAAGCAAAAAAGTATAAAAATTAAAAGCTGCAATTTTATTAAAAATATGTTATTCTAACACATATTTTTTTAACTGTAATGTTCTAAATTGATCAAAATATAAATGTTATTTTTTTCCTAGGAAAAATAAAACTTCATAACTTAATTTTCATAAATAAATTTATTTCTATTAAATTTTATAGAGCAATTTGTATTACAGTTTTATTTCACATATTTTGTAATACTGCTTCGGTGCAGTGCCCCATTGCTATCTGTGAGTTCATTTAAATTATGACGACATTACTGATCTAGAAGATAAAAATGTACCTAAGTACCTTAATATTATAATCAAAATGGCTAATTTTGTAAATTATTACCTATAATGGTTAGATGAGTTATGAATGTAAACTTCTTTATGCTGGTTTCTTGAAGTTAGGTGATATTAATTATCTTCGCATCATCATGGGCTCTAATCAACTGTAGAGTATTCGTCAATCAACCTGAAATATGTAATATTATTTACTTTATATTTACGAAAAATTATCATTTTCTTTTTATGAAAATTTTGAGTTTAAATTTAAATGTGATTAGAATAAATATACATCAGTATTTAACATTTTATCATAGGTAATATTCTATATATTACCTGTGATTTTATGCTAAAATGTTTAGTTTTGTGAAAATATTACTTACCTATAATATTTAAACGAGGTTTCCTGAATGTACAATTTGTTTATCACGATGTCAAGTTCTAAATCTTGTATTGGTTGTCTAAAACTGTTTGATTTTGCTTAGTTATATTGTATCCTATATTTAATTAAACAAACTCAAAATAATGTTTATAATTACCTTCATCAGCCTTCATATCATTAAAGTTATTATTATCACTTATCATTCTCAGTCATTATGTAGTTATTTGTTCATTTGTTGCTCTGTTTGTTGTTGTTTGTTTTCAACAATTTTCAAAGATCATTTTTGAGGTTAATGTCATATAAAACTTTTTCGTAATTAGGCAACTGGTAAATGACGTGTGACGATAAATTAATAAAATAATAATGAACGTATTAAGTTAAATATTTATATATTAATTTAACATATCTATTTCATGTTTGTAAATTACATAATTTTTAATTTGGTATACCTTTAATTTTATATATTCATAATGAAATGAAATATATTTCGATATAACGTTTGGCAACCACGCAACTGAAGTGCAAGCGACATCTGTGCAAGAGAAGCAAAACCTCCCAAAAAAGTGAGAAAAGAAATCTAAAAATTTCAGATTATTCAAACGTCACTCCAATATTTTTCCAAATTGGAGTGAAATTAGGGTGACAATTTTTAACACGTAAGGAGCCATCTGGATTATGTGTTATCTGTGCTAGTAGGCTTTGGACCCCTCATTGATGATATGCCCTTAATGGAACTCGAAAACATATTTTTCCAGCAAGACGACGCACCGCTTCTGAACGCTAAAGTTATCAGCAAATTTCTGCAGCCAATTTCAAGAATAACTGAATAGCTGACCAAGAACCCAGCCGTTGGCCGTCGAGGCCGCCTGACTTAGTGCCCATGGATCTAATCCTATGGATATATTTGCGGAAGAATAAAGGTTCCTTATTCTTCTGTATAATCTAGACAAGAATTAGAAATACTTAGCAGTTATGAGAGGGTATCTTTCACCCACACTGAGTTAATGAATTCCGCGAGAAATGTTTAAAAACTGCCCCGTCTGTCCATAACAGAAGACGGTCGATATGTCGAACACCTGTAGCAAAATCTCATGACCTGGTTTGCTATTTAATTTTATTGTTATGAGATATACTTTAAATGTGTTGATGTTGGTTAAATATATTTTAAATTGCTATAAAATTCTGCATCTCTCATAGCAAATATTATTTTGGTTTTAATTAATGCTCACAGCTAGAATTTTTTTGCCTTACAGTCGGTGCCGTTCAAAGCCTACTTATTTAAAGCGGGCGAATTTTTATATACTCTATATCTCGAAGAGGAATCGAGCAAAATATCAAGTGTGTTATATTTTTGGAAAGGTAATTTTAAATTCTTTTCAATAACTTATAAATATACAGGGTGTCCCATATAAAAAATCAATTTTTCTGTTGATAACTCTTAAATTATTAATTTTAAAAAAATTATACAAAAACAATTAAATTCTATTGCATTTTTAACAAGTCACTGTAACTTTTTTGCTATGAAAAATTTTGTATTTTTATGAAAACATTTCCGAAGCACCTTTTTACGTAGAATTTAATGGTTTAAGTATAATTTTTTTTAAATCAATAATTTAAGAATTATCAACAGAAAATTTGATTTTTTATATGGGACACCCTGTATATTTTTAATTTATTAAAAAGGATTTAAAATTACCTTTCCAAAAATATAACACACTTGATATTTTTCTCGATTCCTCTTCGAGATATAGAGTATATAAAAATTCGCCCGCTTTAAATAAGTAGGCTTTGAACGGCACCGGCTGTAATGCAAAAAAAAATTCTAGCTGTGAGCATCAATTAAAACGAAAATAATATTTGCTATGAGAGATGCAGAATTTTATAACAATTTAAAATATATTTAACCAACATCAACACATTTAAACTATATCTAATAACAATAAAAATAAATAGCAAACCAAGATATGAGATTTTGCTACAGGTGTCCGACATATCAACCTTATACTATTATGGATAGACGGGGCAGTTTTTGAACATTTCTCGGGGAATTCATTAACTCAGTAGGGGTGAAAGATACCCTTTTATAACTGCTAAGTATTTTTAATTCTTGTCTAGATTATACGGAAGAATAAGGTACCTTTATTCGCAAATATATCCATAAGATTAGATCCATGGGCTCTAAGTCAAGCGGCCTCGACGGCCAACGGTTGGGATCTTGGTTAGCTATCCAATTATTCTTGAAATTGGCTGCAAATATTTGCTAATAACTTCGTTCAGAGGCGGTGCGTCGTCTTGCTGGAAAAATATGTTTTCGAGTTTCATTAAGGGCATATCATCAATAAGGGGTCCAAAGCCTACTAATTAAAAGTGGCGAACTTTTAAAAATTCTGTATTTCGAAGGGGATTATAACAAAATATCAAGTGTGCTATATTTTTGGAAAGGTAATTTTAAATTATTTTCAGTTAATTAAAAATATAGAGGGTGTCCCAAATAAAAAATCAATTTTTCTGTTGATAACTCTTAAATTATTAGCGTTAAAAAAATTATACTTAAACCATTAAATTCTACATAAAAAGGTGCTTTGGAAATGTTTTCATAGAAATACAAAATTTTTCATAACAAAAAAGTTACAGCGATTTGTTAAAAATGCACATTTTTTAATAACACCCCGTAACTCCGAAACGGTAACAGATTTGATATGCGGTTTTTACCATCATATTTTTGATGAAAATCGAGCTTCATACACCGACATTTGTTTTCGTCTATCTCCTATAGAAAAGGGTGTTTCCATTTAAAAGCGTCGAATTTGACCTAGCCTGTACATTAATTAATAACTAAATTTGCAGGTTGAAATTAATATGAGTAAAACAAAAGTCTTGATTTGGAAAATTACACAATAAATTAGTTTTCTTTTTTACTATTTTAACTTAAATTAAATATTATCAATTAAATTACCAAACGTAATCGCTATGTTTGAGTTTCATTGAAGAACACCAGTAAAAAGGTAAAAGAAGTTAAGGAAAAAACCAAAAAAGATTCAAAACCAAGATATTTGAGGAGCAGACTTACTAAATGCATATTGTCCATTTTTTTCAAATTTTCAACCAAAAGTGACAAAAACTACATAGACGGAATTACAATATTATGTCAGAAACGACATTCTAAATTTGTTTTATCCCATTCGAATTAAATGGCGAAAATACTTTAGATTTTCTATGTGCTGTATGTCCATTAGCAGTAAACTAACAAGTATGTGCTGTGGACATACTGCTGTTTGTCATTGCCAGATGAAGAGTGTTTTTTTGTACTACAACTTTTCGATTTTTTGAAGAATACTACTTAAAATAATGAATAGAACTACGACTGGGCACTATATAGTTGGGAATACGGACCATGGTAGCAGATAAAGAATGAGAAATTTGTCTAAATGACAAGAGTTTTTTTCAATTTCTTCAAATATTATCAAAACCAGATTTTTCACATGCAGGTGTACTATTTTTATGATTTTTTATCCTTTTTTTAAGTATACTACTTTTTCGGTAAGTTTCTTGCAAAAAGCGTAGCAGTTTTTCATTGCCAAAATTCGAAAAAATGGATAAAATGCATCTAGAAAGTCTGCTCCTCATTTATTCTATATTATTACTAAACATATTTTGCTCTGAAGGTATTGTCAATCAGGGTTGATTTTCTCTCGGACTTGGACCCATATCGATGACGTAACAGCTCCAAGCCATTAGAAAATTTCAAAATTATTTGCGGAAAAAGAGAAATGCGCAAGTGCGTACCACCATACACCAGAGAAGCTTCACGGACCCATTCAAAAAGACCAAAAAACTGCTCAAAAAACTGCTATACTTCCCTATACTTCTTAAAAAAAAACTCCTCCCAAAATGCCAATTCTTGGCCCTTTAAGATGGTAATGTCTGGATGAACTTGGAACTCTGGCAGAGCACATACAATTTATTCATACATCACTGCCAGGCTCTGGATCGCAAGCGGCACTTTCGAAAGCAAGTCTAGAACCGGAGGAACTATGCTTGCAGTATTTGAAGTACCAAAAAACTAAAAGACCTTTAATAATTTTCGTTATAATAAAGCTTTGAAAAAAATATATATTGTCTTTATTATTTACGCAATAATAAATTGTACGAGCTTTTTTAATGGCTTATTGATTTATATATTTTTTTATTCGTTTTCGCGATAAAAACCCGGAAAGCTATATTTATATTTTAAGTGGAATATATTTTTTTATAAAAATAGGATTGGAGAGCTTTTGACAAACTGTCCGTGTAAATATATCATATCAATTTCATTGCGGCTTATGAAAAAATATATTTTTCTCTTTGTTGGCTTCTGCTTGTGAGTTATAGTAGGTGAAGTGATGTTTTTTTATTGGATTTAAAGCCATTTCAGCAAAAAATTTAAAAATACGTTTAATTCTTACAAAAACAGTTTTTGTAATACTTTTAAGTTAATTTTGTCGAAACAGAATTAGTAGGTATATAAACATAATATTATTTTAATAATTACATTTAATTTTACTAAGCATTTTTGGAAATTGGTATAATTTATTTAATTTATAGTTTGTTGTTGATTTGTTAATTAATAAGTGCAATTTATGGTTGGTATCTAAAAATTTATTATTTTATTTAATTAATCTCATCTATCAGTCTAATATGTTATAAAATAAATATTTAAAAATACCATTGTGTTTGATTAAAAGTTTTAAAATTTCTCGACATATTCTAAAAACTCGAGAAATTCTTATATGTAATTCCCGTGCCTCGAGAAAAAAGGGTAAAAAAATAAGAAACCCTAATTGGGAATTAATATCGCTGACATTTTATATGTAAAACTATATAGGGGTATAAACTACATCGATCACCATTTCAAAGCCAACTGGTTGCCGTTTTTTTATTATAATGTACTTATTTGGCCTTAGAATTTGACCGTAGTTGACCTTAGTTAAGATTGGAAAAACCGATTAATTTCCA